TGAAAGTTGAACCTCCTAAAGGTAAATCTGGCATTTTGGCCCAGTTGGGCTTCTTGAGGGATTATTTAAAGTAAGCTGAATGCAAATTGCTTGTCGAATGGTCAGTAGCAAAGAAAGAGCTGAGATTCCAATATACAAACCATCTCTTCGTCATGTTTAATTTGCATATTTGGTACGAATCATCTGTCGTTAAGTTTCCTAGTATAAAAGTTGGGAGGTAATTCAAGAAACATGAAGAGAATTGCTATGAGCAAATTTTTGGGCGTCCGTGTGTGATGAACGTTTTTCAAAAAAAAGTTAGGTAGGATCGATCTGTGTTTGCTGATCTCCCTATTTGCAGCACGTAATCTCACTTTTTTAAGCAAACTGGGAAATTGCTTTAAAAAAATTTTGAATCTGCAACTTACCATGTTCCAAAAATAACCTCTGGTCTGTGCTCTCTCCTTTTCATATTATTTCCCCCTTTTGCTCAGAAAATCTTTTTCAACTTTGAATTAGGAATCAAGTGGAGCACTTGTATTAGATACTCTAGCACCATTTTTCCAAATGCCAACAGGAAATTTTGATATGGTAGGTATGCAGCTTTAGAAGTTGCAGGTAAAACAAATCTGTAAGGTAATTTTATCACTCGCTTTTGCTGTTTCGTCTTTTGAGGAATTCCTTTTAGTCTGCTTTCTTTCAGAAAAAATGGTTCTTAGCGGAGATTTGTTTTTCCGCCTTTCACCTGTAGAATCACTCTGCCGTTCTCATTCTATCAGTTTAACGAGAAAGCTTATCACTTTATTCTCATCCATTATAGGTCGTGAAAAAGATCCCGAGTTCTCGGCTCCTAAAGGTCAGAAGCTTACTGATTTAGACGATGAATCACATCATGCTGCTGGAAAGGTTTGCTTCTTGAAACCCCTTTTATTCTTTCCCCTTTTTGTCTATGGGATCTTTCAGGAAAGTGAAGGTAATGTGATCGAGCAGACCCACTACATAGTTGTTCCTTCTTACGCTTCTTGGTTTGATTACAACGCTGTGCATCAGATTGAAAAGCGAGCTGTACCAGAGTTTTTCAATGGTCGTAACAAGAGCAAAACACCCGAAGTGTAAGTAACGTCTTCGTATTGCATTTGATTTCCATAACCATTTTCAGGTATCTTTCATATCGTAACTTCATGGTTGACACTTATCGGCTTAATCCGTTCGAGTACCTATCCGCCACTGCGTGCCGGAGAAATCTTGCTGGTGATGTTTGTTCCATTGTGAGGTGAGTGTTTCGTTAATTCATCTATAAGCCTACTAGATTCCTTGTTATAGGGTGCACTCATTTCTCGAGCAGTGGGGTTTGATAAACTACCAAGTGGACTCAGATGCTCGTCCAGCTCCAATAGCTCCTCCACCTACAAGCCATTTCATGGTGCTGGCTGACACACCAACTGGTGTTCAAC